TCTCTCTGTCAAGACCCTGTTTCTTTTTGGACTTCAGTTCTGTTTTTTTGCTTCCATCTTTTTCTGTGCATCCATGATTATAAGCAATAAATAATTACTGCAGAAGCAAAACAAAACAAAATAGAAAACAATAACAACAAAAAACATTAGTCTAAACCTAGACAGTTCCATTTGAATTAATCTGCACTGATATTTTGCTCTCTAGAAGTAGCCATTCTAAATGTTACTCTCCACTTGACAAAGCTTCAACAGATCCCTGCCATCTCAGAGCAAAATTCACAGCTTTAGGAGTACAGCATGCTTTGCTCTCCATCGTCTGTCCCACTTCTCTTTCTCTGTTCTTGACATCTATTTATTTCTTTTTACTTCATGATCTAAATTCACAACTTCATTTAGTTGCAGTTACTTGCTTCTTAAACCCAAGATTCCTCTCTTTCTGCATTTTCAGCCTAGAATTCTCTTCCCCTTTTATGTCTACATTTTAAAAAATTTTTAAAAGATTTTATTTATTATTTATGTGAAAAGTAGAGTTACAGGCAGTGAGAAGGAGAGGCAGAGAGAAAGATCTTCCTTCCATTGGTTCACTCCCCCAAAATGGCCACAATGGCCGGAGCTGTGCCAATCCGAAGCCAGGAGCCAGGAGCTTCTTCCTGGTCTCCCATGTGGGTGCAGGGGCCAAGGACTTGGGCCATCTTCTACTGCTATCCCAGGCCACAGCAGAGATCTGGATTGGAAGAGGAGCAGCCAGGACTAGAACCAGTGCCCATATGGTATGCCAGTGCCGCAGGCAGAGGATTAACCTGTTGTGCCACTGTGCCAGCACCTATGTCAACCTTTTTTAAATTTGGCTTCAACATTCTGCTCAGGACTAATGACCTGACATTAACCCTATGACCATCTTCCCTTCCTGCCTATTGCACTTTATTATTGATTTATTAAATTTTTATTTATTAAATTATTTATTTATTTATTATTATATTACAGAAAAAGGAGGTTTTCTCATTTGTTTTCCTATGAGATTTTTATCTCCTTGGAGTTAAAAATGATGCCAATTATTCATTGTTGGTTTTGGGCAACTAATTAAGTGTCTAGCAAAACATTGTTAGTTACTATGGAATTATTTCAGTCCTTCCTTTCAACAATCTTCAAACCACTTAGTTTCAGGGTTCTGCAATGCCTGGGTATTTATTGGATCTATTGTGATCCAGAGAGTCTCTTTGCTAAAATTCCCATCTGGATAAAAGCTCTAATCTTACACTTCTTGAGATTTCTCACTCTCATTATGTCTGGTATTTACATTTTTAATATTTCTATTCATTAAAGTCCTTTTTAGTACTCTGGTTTCTTACTCAACTACATGTTCACCTCCTTCCTATATCAATAAATAGCTCATGGTTAAAAATTTCAACACAAACATAATCAACCCCAACCTTACCTCTCTTTAACTGCTGTACATCTGATGTCTGATCTATGTATGTCATAATTATTGCTTATTGGTTTTTAAACCAAAAATTTCCTCTTATTATGTAGGTACAACCTTTATTATAAAGGGTACAACATGATGTTTACATATATGTATATGAGAATGCTTAAAAATTCATGGAAAAAGGATTTAAAAATAATGCGTTTGGCCTGCTTGTCATGATGATGGTTAAGATATGCATTTCTCATGTAGGAGTAACTGGGTTTGATACCTGACTACTGCTGACTTTAGTTTCCTAATAATGCAGACATTGGGAGAAAACAGAGATGGCTCAAGAAGTTGATTTCCTGCCACCCACATGGGAGGACCTAGATTACACTTCCAGTTCTTGACTTAAATCCTACCCTGTCATGGTTCTTTCATCCATTTGGGGAGCAAGTCAATGGATGGAAGCTATCACTGTCTTTCCAAAGGAAAGAGAGAGAGAGAAAGAGAGAGAGAGAGAAGAAAAAAGAATGGAAAAAAAGACAATGAACATTTTACATGAATTTTCTGAAGTATCCTCATGTATTTATACTGAAATGATAGTACACTTAAGCAAATTAATGTGCCCATCCATCACCTAATGTAGCTGTGTTTTCTTTCTTGTGATTAAGAACATCTTAAATATATTCTCAGCAAATTTCTATGAAACAATAAAGTATCATTGGCTATAATTCTCATGTTATATATAAATCTTTACACTTATTTAGCCTATATAACAAGAACTTCTTATTTTGGCCTATATTTCTCCAGCTCCCACCATATGTCCACTAGGAACCATTATTCTACTTTGTTTTAATATATTCAGCATATTTTTACATTCCACAAACAAGTGAGAATAATCAGTACTTTTCTTTCTGATTTTGTCTCATTTCATTTAGAGATCTGAAAACGAAAAATGACTTTCCTCAATGTCAGTTGAAATCCCTATTTCCACTTCATTTAGAAAGGTAAGAAAGCCTAATATCCCTAGCTTATATCTCATAATAACTTTTATATTTACTCATCTTATCTTGTCTCAAGAAAATTGGTGCATTTTGTAGGTCTTATTCTTTTTTACTGAGACCCTGATACTAGTGAACTTATTCCATCAATTTGTTCCCACTCCTTCCATCTATTTCATCTCTGTCTCCCCACTGGTCTCTTTAAGTAACAATTTCTCCCTATGCTAAAAACACCTTCCTATGATTCTGTCTCTAAATATACATTCACCATCACATAAATCTTTTCATCTCTTTTTCTAAGAGACTCAGAAGAGCAGTAGACATATGTTACCTTTAATTACTTGTGAATTACTTTGTTGTTAACCATTTGGAGTATATTTCAATGGCTATAGTGATAATGCTTTGCTATATCTAAAAATCTCTTTCTACTTCCATCCTACTTCACATCTTCGTAGGATTTTATCTCTTGACCTCTCTTATTTCTTCTAGTAATACAGAGAATTCAAGAAGAAAGTGACTTTCAAATTTCTTCTTGTCATTCTGTATTTCTCTGCTCTACTATTCAGTGAGTAACCAAAGATATTTGAGTTGCATTCTTGGACAATTTCCTTTCTCGCTTGCTACCCTTTCCCTAGGGAAGTGCATATACTCACTTGAGAAAAGAAATCATCTCTGTAAGTGTACTGATTGATGACTTCTCCCTTGAGCACAAAACCTGAACACCTTCAAACGTACCATGCACAAAATTTGACTCAGATTCTTGCTCCTTGTTTTATTTCTGTTTTATGACATGGGTAATTTTCCAATCACTCAATCATAGTACAGACATAGATTTTTCCCAATTTTCCATACTCCCATGTTTTTTTTTTCTTTCAAACTTTTATTTAATAAATATAAATTTCCAAAGTACAGCTTATGGATTACAATGGCTTCCCCCCCATAACGTCCCTCCCACCCGCAACCCTCCCCTTTCCCACTCCCTCTCCCCTTCCATTCACATCAAGATTCATTTTCGTTTCTCTTTATATACAGAAGATCAGTTTAGCATACATTAAGTAAAGATTTCAACAGTTTGCTCCCACACAGAAACATAAAGTGAAAAATACTGTTTGAGTACTAGTTATCCCATGTTTTAATGATTCATTTACCTTCCTCTGTCTAGGATGCCCTGCACCATCTCCCTAATTGAGATAAAAGTATTATCTGTCTTAGATTGCTGTAATGATATCACATAAAATCCCCTTATTAGTTCACCTGAGTTATTGTCATTAAGTCGTAAAATTCAAGAAATTGCACAATCCACCTTTCTTTCAAATATTTACCATCTTTTCCAGTTGCTACTGAAGTATGACACATTAACACACTTGAGATCTAGATATCTATGACCTGACTCTGTCAAACCTCTGCAATTGTAACTTGGACTCTAAAATTTCTATGTGTCTCTACACTTACTATATCGCCCTTCAAGTTATTGCATTGACTTTAGCTGAAATATTTTATTCCTATTTAATCTTTCCTCAAAATTCTACTCATTCTTGATAGTTTCATGAAAATAACAGTTCCTTAATGACAAGCTTCTCTGCTCACACTCACATTTTTTTTTATTTCTCCAGCCATAATTAAATTCTGCACTTTTTTAAACAATATCTTACGAGAGTTAAGACAAAGCCTGTGATATATACATGTTATCAAAGAGAATTGCCTGTAGTCAAATAAATCTAAATTTAAATGGTGTCCTTGTCATTAACAATCAATATAATTTTGAGCAGGTTACTTAAACTTTTGGTATCTCAATAACCTCTACCTGGAGGATAGATGCCTCAACTTGTTTTTGTGACAATTGTACAAGATACTATCTGTAAAGTGCTTAATGCCAGGACTGGGCTTAATACTTTGAAAAAGTATCTATTATTATTACTAGTATGCCAACAGCAGAAAAAGATAATGAGTATTCGTCAGGTAAATACATCGCCAGAACACCTGTAGTAGCCATCCAGTTTCCATTTTTGACTTGTTCCATGTTAGAGGGAGGTATACCACTCTTGTGTGCAAAATATTGGTTTGAGCGGAAATATTTATTTTTTTCTAAATCAAATGGTTCTTGACACTAAACAGTTGACCTCATTTGACTAAGCTATCCTCATGAACTAGTTGCTTTGTTAATTTCTCCACTGTGACATAAAGGACTGTTCAGGTTATCATGAAGTCATGGTCTTTGTGAGCCCCTGTGTATCGTTGGTGTTCATATAGAATTTCCCTACAGTTGAGATCTTTAGGCCTCCCTAGACCCAAAAGAAACCTAATAGTGCTCACATTAGTATCTTGGAGACTAGGCTGGAGCACCACTCTTCTCCAGCCATTGTGTTTATTATTGGGCAATTCATTTCCTGGACACATTTCCTTTATAGGCCTATGAATTACTGCCTTGTCTCAATGCTCCCCAGAATTTCTGGGGAAAGATAATGAGTAGAAATCATTTTCTAATCATATGGAGTTCTTGGAATTGAAACTCAAAATCGATTTTTTTTTTCAAACCACAAAATTAGCATGTCATTAAATGGAGTATATAAGCATCCCCAAAAGCAGAGAACATCATCCACCCAGCTTCATTTTCACTTCTTGTCCTCCACCTTGGAATAAAGGTAAGAATTCTAGGTATGAATTTCATTTACTCACCCAACCTTTATTTCAGAATATGATTAAAATACAGTTTTTGAAATAAAGTTACCTAAGATAGTACTAAAATTATTTTTAACACTTAGAAAAAATAGGATGCCTAGAAATATTTAACAAAACATACAAAGATCATATAGGCCTTGTAAATCCTATGCAATGTAGTAACTAATTTAATATGTGTAGCAAAACTAGCTAATACTTAATATTAAGATGATATCTATTTCTTGAATTAAATGTCTTCAAATTTACATAACATATTAAAACCATAAAACAAATATATTTAAATTAGCTTGAGAAGATGAATAATTATTGGGAAAGTTTTTTTTACCAATATGTAGCATGCTAAGTCAAGAAACAGATGGAGGGAGTGGGAACATACAATATCCTAAATATTCATAAACTTTTTAGAAGAAGAGTGTACTCATTAAAGTTAAGTTGCCTAGACTCTCCAGTTTCCCAGTTTATCATCTAGTTTATAATATTTCAAAATAATCTTACAATGGAGACATGGAGATACAGAGTTAAGCTGAAAAATCAAATTATTCTACATTTTAAGAAAATTCTACATGCGACAAAGATGTCTTGCAAACAAAACACAAAGGAAATAGATGATTTGAAAACAGTAGATGTATACCAGTCTATAATAAAATTCTTGCTTAAAAACTAGTATACAAAATACTACGTTTAAGAGATAGAAAATGCAGTGAGATTCTTCTTACTTTACTTGTTTATTGCCTTGTGTTACATTTTTTTGAACTCTTTACAAGAAAAACTCCTTTGGAAATTTATGGTGTCTCAGGCAAGGTAAAATTAATAAATAATTATAAACCATTCATAAGAAAAACAAAAAATTATTTTCACAAATGGAATTATTTCAACCTTCAACTATTGGAAAGGATATTTTTCTTTTTTTTAAGATTCATTTTATTTATCAGAAGGGCAGAGTTTCAGAGAGAGAGGAAGGGAAAGACACAGAGAGAGGTCTTCTTTCTGTTGGTTCACTCCCCAAATAGCTACAATGGCCAGGGTTGGGCCAGGCCAAAGCCAGGAATCAAGAGCTTCTCCTGGGTCTCCAATGTGGGTGCAGGGGTCCAAGCACTTGGACCTTCCTCCACTGCTTTCCCAGGGCATTAGCATGGAGCTGGATTGGAAGTGGAGCAGTGGGGACTTAAACCTGCATCCATGTGGGATGCCCATGCTGCATGTAGAGGCTTAACCCACCATGCCACAGCACTGGGCCCAGGAGATGACAGTTTTCAGAAGCAGAACTTTATTCTGAGAACTGTTTGAATTTCAGAAATTTAGTTTAAAAATATGAAAATGAAGATCGAGTGTCAAATATTATTATGGCATAAAAATTAATTTTTAAAATAAATGATTTAAAATGCAAGAAAAAGGAAGGATATTTGGCTTAGTGGTTAAAGTGCTCCTTAGGATATCATGTTAGAGTGCCTGGCTTTGAGTCCTAACTCTGCTCCAACTCCAGCTTCCTGCTAATGCACAGCCTGAGAGGCAACAGGTAATGGCTCAACTAGTTGGATACCTGTCACCCAGGTGGGAGGCCTGCAGTGAGTTCACAGCTCTTGAATTTGTTCTGACCCAGCCCCAGCCTTTGCTGGCATTTGGGGAGTGATCCAACAGATAGGAGTTCTCTAACTGCCTTTCTGTCTTGTGTATGTCTCTCTGTCTTTCAGATAAAAAAAAAAATTTAAAAATGCAACAAGAAAATCATAGAGGTCATTTAGTATATTTTGATCAAAAGTATTAACATATATTTCATAAGAGGTAGCTTGGGGTTAGGGAGTAGGCAAGAGGAAGTAGCCCTTTGTAAGTCATCAAGGGATCAGTGTGCATTTTAATAGCAAGAGAAGGCCTGCGCTGCAGCTCACTAGGCTAATCCTCCGCCTTGCGGCACCGGCACACTGGGTTCTAGTCCCGGTCGGGGCGCCGGATTCTGTCCTGGTTGCCCCTCTTCCAGGCCAGCTCTCTGCTGTGGCCAGGGAGTGCAGTGGAGGATGGCCCAGCTCCTTGGGCCCTGCACCCCATGGGAGACCAGGAGAAGCACCTGGCTCCTGCCTTCGGATCAGCGCGGTGCGGCGGCGGCCATTGGAGGGTGAACCAACGGAAAAGGAAGACCTTTCTCTCTGTCTCTCTCTCTCTCACTGTCCACTCTGCCTGTCAAAAAAATAAAATAAAAAACCCAAAGCTCTACCCGGCTCAAGGGTGAGGAAAAAAAAATAGCAAGAGAAGCAACCTGGAGAGTTATCTCTAAAATCACATGGCATAATGAGAAGAGACATGATTTGGTGTATGGGGAGGAAGACTACACAGTGGGGACAGATGGAGAAAACTCAAACCTATCATCTAAAAAATCATCTGGGGAATGAAGCAAATAAAGGAAACAACAAATGAAAATTTCAGTTTCATTGAAAATGAGCAGATCAATTCAACTAGATATGCATGGCAACTGTTTGGCAGAAAAAAATCAAAATAAAGGGTCAATTATAATTGTATGCATTTTCTTGATCAGTTACCTGTTGTAGAATTGAGTCTGCTTTAGGACGAAAATCTTATTATTTTGCTCATTGCTGCATTCCTAGTACCTGGACACTGACAATGAAAGATGCTAAATAAATATTTTTGAATATATGAATCAATACATATTTCTGTAAATATTGATAACTTTATCCCTTTCAAAAAGTAAAGCATGGTAGTGTGAGTGAGAGAGAAAATCAGAAGCATGGAGGAGAGTAGTGAAATTTGAATTTTATACCAGGGAAGATTTTGAATTTGATCATCTGACAAAACTTCTTTACTTTTTTACGGTGAAGTGCAAGCATTTTTACTGCATTATCTTGGATGTCTTTTAAAGGAACACTAGCCCTACTCAAGTAAAAACATTGACCTGATTGACTAATTGATTGACTGATTAATTCCCTTGTCTCTCCATTCACAGGACTTGGCAGTCATGAAGGTCCTCATTCTCGCCTGCCTGGTGGCTCTCGCTCTTGCAAGGGAGGTATGTGCAAAAGAAAGTTCTCAATAACGAAAATACAGGGAACTATGTACCCGCTTACAAACCACATCGCCAACAGTAGCATACAAGCAACGGAGGTTTTCTGTAGAACTTGCTTGGTTTCCATGAAAGTCAATTATGTTCAACCATTGTCTCAACAGTTTCTTGTAAGCCCCAAAACTCAGATAAATGCTTTCTGTAATCTGCTGCCAGTCCTAAAGAGCAAACAAACATATCAATAAACAACAACAACGATCAGCAACAAAACAAAACACAAGAAAAAGAGAGAAACAGAAAAGCAGCAAGAAAATGTAATATACACATACAATTGCAAGTATGGGCACCCCCTATAAATATATCTTATTACAGTGGAAATAAAAGACTTTAAAGCAATATTTCAAGTTTTTTGAAAGGCACATAATATGTTTTTATTTCTCAAATTTGTGAAAGAATTTTATGGAGCTAAAAATTCACTAGAAAACACGTTTAATCATGAATTAGCTATAGAAACTGAAAAGATTTTTTTTTACCTTTTTCAGAAGGAACAACTCAGTGTTCCCACAGAGGTAAGAATTTTTTTTCTCCAGAGAAAATATTCCAGCCATAAAGCAGTAACATTCTCTGAAATGGCTCTTAGCTGGTTGCTGATCTTTTTTCCCTATTTTTTTTTTTTTTACAGGCTGTAGGAAGTGTTTCCAGCAGCGAGGTAAGACAAGCTTTTTTTCAGAGGCAATTTCTCTTTTTTAGAACAGTGAATCAGAGTACCATATGTGTCTTACATTACATCACAGCAGTTACACAGATGTCATGTTCTGACATGTAAGTTCTGATGTAAATTCCCTTTATATATGTTTACAATCAGAATAAATGCTGGGGAGTCACTATTCTAGATCTTTCTATGTAGGCTTACTACTTCAGTTGTGTCAGTTTGCCAACACCTCATCCCTTGTTCTATGAGCTGTATAGTCCTGGTTTCTGGACTCCCTCCGTTCTGACCTCATCCACATGTAACATTTATCCAGTCCTTTCTGTGGATGAGACATTGACTAGAAACAGTGCACAAATGGAGAGAATCCAGATGTCATGACAGTACAGAGCCTGCGATGCACCAACAGGCAGAAATGCAAAGGGACATAATTTGTAATTAGAATTGTCACTTTAGTAAACAAGAAGCAATGAGAAATCTTCCTGGGAGAACCAAGTAGATATGTATCCTTCCACAATTCTTTTTTGGTATGCCGTCATCAGAACAATGTCTTTTCACAAAAGCCATAAGATCCATTGAGGAGGTATTTATTTTCTATAATTCACTGGAAGCCTTACATATAAGTAAACTGTATTACTATTATTTTGCTTCTATTGTTATTTAAATGTATTTGCAATGGCAATTTTTTTTTTAGAACCACATGGGATGTTAGAAATCATTTGTCCTCAGAGAAAGTAATATGATTTTAGAGAGAAATCAGCGGCAATTAAATACCTCTTTTTGTACTAGTTTCACTAGCTTTCTTTCACCTCTTGGTTGTATTCATCTCACTTTCTTTTATACAAGACACTTATGTAGAATACTATAAATGAAAATTTCAACAATTATCCGGTTATCAAACAGAAGCATGCACATTAACCTATTAAATGCCTTCATTTTTTATTTCTATTCAAGTATAAGTGTTTCAGTAAAACTATTTAGTAAAACTAAATATGATTTTCTTTTTCATTTTTCTGAAGGAAATTACACATATCAACAAGGTAAGACCTCCAAAATTGTCATTATTTTGCAAGTTTCCCATGCTAGCTTTTCAAAAGTGGTAACATATATATTTTGCTTTTAGCAGAAACTCGAGACGATTAAGCACGTGGAACAGCTGCTAAGAGAGGTATTTGTCATGATGTGATATTTCTAAAATTATTATGACACATAATAATACAAAAATATTTAAAATGCATACATTTAGTCTGAAGAATAGTAATAACATAAATGCCATGCATCCAATAAGCATTGTAAAATAAATATAAACAAAATCAATATACTTTCTAAGCAATAAATGCATTTTTAAACTCATAATCAATTTTTCAACTATGGCTAAATATTTCATGATATTACTAATGATACATGAGGAGTCTTCAAAAAGTTTGTGGAAAATGAAATTTAAAAATAAGTTTAATTTGGTACAAATGATTTTGAAATCGGTGCAAAGATTCAATTTCCAGAAAAAATTCATTAACAATACAGATTATGTAAAATTTATGCATGATTTCAAAGTGTTCTACACAAGATTAAACATCTTTTAATTTAATTTTCCATGAACTTTTTGAGTCATCCTCATATAAGTAAAGGTATATTAGTACAATTACTTCCAGATTGGAAACTATGTTCCTGTAATTTTCAAGGTGAACATAGTAATGAAAGGTGTAAAGGCAGCAAGGCAGAAATCCTCAATTGATCATTTACCACCTTTATAAACTGGGTCACATGTTTGTTTGCTCTTCAATGTCTTCACCTGTGAGCTAAGAGTATTTGTAAGGATACCTTCTCTGTTATGCTTATGAGCTGGTATATTCACTTATTTTACATTTTGTAGGTATTACAGTAACATTTGTTGAAAATGCTCGAGCAGTCTCATTACAAAGATCAGAGAAGTGAGGTACACCATCACTGAGTGCACAATCATGTGATAGTATTACACTTTAATTAAACAGCAGAGCTTGCTTAAAGACCCACGAAGTTTCTTGGATAACATAAAACCCTATACTTACATTTATGTCATATATATGTAACTATAATATTTAAAGCTTTTTATTTTATGAATGGATTATTTGATGCTCACACAAAATATTGTTTAAATCAAGTTGCCATATAAAATTGATGCCTCTTGAAAGCCCTGAGAAAACTACCTTTTACCTAGGAAAGTGATATTAGACTCTAGCTAGGTTATGGGTCTCACTGAATTTTGCTACAAATTAAAACTGGTTTTTAATAAAACAAAAATCAGAACAAACATCAGAATTGCTTCTCTAAGATTGTAAAATTGACCTCCATTCATGATGAGAAAGCAATCTTGTCTATTACCAACACTCTATGTTGAAAGACCAACATTCATAGGCACCAAAGTGTACAGCGTCAGCTTTCCAAGCAACTCAGGATAATGAGAAATTAATGAAATCCACAAATTTTTACTTCACTTTGCTTCATGCATTCACTTATGAAGTGATGTTAAGGAGTAATCTCTCTAAGAGCATTTTACTCATTTTTCTTCACATGACCCGAGGTAATTTCTAAGCAAGATAAGTGAAAGACTTTTTTTTGTCTTTCACTCAGATGTGGTTGTCCAACAGACAGGAGATTAAATCATCATGAATTACAAGGAAAGTTGAACCATGGACTCAAAGATTCTTTTCCTTCTTTCCAGGAGAAACTCCAGGATAAAATTCTCCCCTTTATTCAATCACTCTTTCCTTTTGCTGAGCGCATCCCCTACCCTACTCTTCCACAGAACACCCTGAACCTTGCTCAACTCGACATGCTGCTACCTCTCCTTCAGCCTGAAATAATGGAAGACCCCAAGGCTAAAGAGACCATTATCCCTAAGCACAAACTGATGCCCTTCCTTAAATCTCCAAAGACGGTCCCCTTTGTTGACTCTCAAATTCTGAATCTCAGGGAGATGAAAAATCAACACCTTCTTTTGCCCCAGCTCCTGCCCTTCATGCACCAGGTCTTCCAGCCTTTTCCCCAGACTCCCATTCCATACCCTCAGGCCCTCCTCTCTCTTCCTCAGTCCAAATTCATGCCTATTGTCCCACAAGTGGTGCCCTACCCTCAAAGGGACATGCCTATCCAAGCCCTTCAGCTGTTCCAAGAACTGCTTTTCCCTACCCATCAAGGCTACCCTGTGGTTCAACCAATAGCCCCAGTTAATGTAAGTGCAAACTTACTTATTTTGCTGCATCACTCATAGTGAGTTCGTGATGTGTTTATGATGGTGGAATAAGTTCAAGAGCTCTAGGATGAAAGAACAAAAGTATAAAGAATGGATCCAAAATCATATTTTATTTTTTAAGGATTTATTTAGTTATTTACTTGAAAGAGTTACACAGAGTGAGGAGAGGCAGAGAGAGGGAGAGAGAGAAGTCTTCCATCCACTGGTTCACTCCCCAATTGGCCACAACGGCAGGAGCTGCACTGGTCGGAAGCCAGGAGCCAGGAGCCAGGAGCCAGGAGCCAGGAGCCAGGAGCCAGGAGCCAGGAGCTTCTTCTGGGTCTCAAGGACTTGGGTCATCTTCTGCTGGCTTCCCAGGCCATAGCAGAGAGCTGGATCGGAAGTGAAACAGCCGGGTCTTGAACTGGCACCCATATGGGATGCCGGTGCTTCAGGCGAGGGCATTAACCCTCTGAGCCACAGTGCTGGCCCCCAAAATCATATTTTAGATCTGTGATTCTCAATACTAGCTATACTTTGGGATAACCTGGAGAACTCTTAGACTGGAGAACTCCCAGTACTCAAATTCCAATGCAAAAGCCCACCCACAGTAATTCTGACACAATTGTTTTGCTCCACCATACAGAAAAAAAATTGTGTTTGAAGGAAAAGATTGTAGGCCCTCTGATTTTCTTGGTTAGTTGAGAAATCTGAGTTAAGGTAGATCAAAGTTAATTAAAGCTAGAATTAAATATAATTATCTGAACAGGTCTGAAATTAAGAACATTTAGTATTATCTATAGTTTGAAAATTTTTTTATCTTCTATTTTTAATATGTACACATGAGGGAAAAAATAGAAATGCTGACTTCATTACCTTGAACAATTTTAAGGCAAGTGTTTTCCAGTGGTGAACTGTATATTTATTTTGTATTTATTTATTTTAAAGGTCTAAGAGGATTTCACAGTTAATATCTTTTCCTGATTTTTGGTAAGTTTTGAGACTTTGGAGATTAGACTATTTTATAGTTGACAACACTTTACAACTAATTCCCCTACATTAGCCCAAAATAGTGGCAGTTTCCATCATAGACAAACTTACTTATCAGATTATTCTCAATGGTTGAGTATTATTTACCATTATATATCTTTTATATTCACAATAACTTTTAATTTTATTTATGTGTTATTGACAAATCTGACTGGCTTGCTTTTAAGGGCCAGTGTCCTTACATTTGGTATTCATAATGCTTAGGAAAAAATAAAAACTAGAGCTTCTTTTACTTTTTTAAAAGATTTATTTATTTATTTGAAAGTCAGAGTTACACACAGAGAGAAGGAGAGGCAGAGAGAGAGAGAGAGAGAGAGAGACAGAGACACAAAGAGAGAGAGAGAGAGAGAGAGAGAGAGAGACAGTGTCTTCCATCTGCTGATTCACTCCCCAATTCGCTGCAACAGCTGGAGCTGCACCGATCAGAAGCCAGGAGCCTGAAGCTTTCTCTGGGTCTCCTATGTTGGTGCAGGGGCCCAAGGACTTGGACCATCCTCTGCTGCTTTCCCAGGCCACGGCAGAGAGCTATATTGGAAGTGGAGCAGCTGGGACTTGAACCAGAGTCCATATGGGATGCCAGCACTGCAGCCAGCCACAGCACTGGCCTCACTTCTTTTACTTTTATATAAATATCTTTGAGCTTTAGTTGAAAACCAACTTGCATTACTATTTCTGGTTTAGGCCTTATAAAATTTGTATTTGGTTCACTTAAATTTGTCTTTTGAACCATGATTCAAAATAAAATTACTTAATCTAAATGTAAGGATTAAAAAGGGAAGAGGATGATAGATACAGTTATCTTGACTTGGACATTATAGAAAATATAACAAAACATCACATATCACCTCATAAATGTATGGGTGTAAAGAGACAGAGAAAGAGAAAGGCAGAGAAAGAGAAAGGGAAAGAGAAAGTCCCCATCTGCTAGTACATTCTTCAAGTGTTGACAATGGCCAGGACTGGACTTGTAACAGGAGCCAGGAACTCAGCTGAAGTCTCTTATATGTGTGGCTGGAACCCAATGACTTAAGTTAACATCACTGACATCCAAGGTCTGCATTGGTGGGGAGCTGAAGTAAGAAGCCAAAGTCAGGAACCAGTGTCAGGCCTTCCAGTGTGGGATATAGGCATCTTAACCACTAACCTTAATGCTCACTGTAAAATGTACAAGCTTTATGTGTTGATTTAAAATAAGTTAAAAAAAAGACAAAACAAGGAAGAGAAGATGATACTTTTAGGATCTTAATGACACAAAACCTTTTGTGATAACAGACTAGATATTTCAGTAAAAAATTAAAGTGAACTGATATTTAGAACCTTAGGAATTTTCTATATGTCCAAGGAAAGGCACAATAGAGTATATTTGTGATACAATTTTTTTATTCATTAGTCACAGCACAATTACAAATGGAAAAGGTTAGCAATCATGTCATGTAACGTAACTAATTTTTCATTTGCTCTGTATTCCACAGAATTGACTGAGACTGGAACTTTGGCATCTTCTCCGTCTTTCTATCATGTCATCAGAAACTAAATGTTTTTTAACTAACCAATATGGGCAAATGAATCCTTACTCTTTTATTTATTTTATGCCTTAAATGAAATTTCATTTAATTTGAATTTGACTTGTAAGTTGTTTATACATTACAAATTGTAATTCAGGTAGTACCATCAAAATTCAACATTGAATTGGAAATGTTATAGCAATGCCAAAATATGTTCAAAAATAATTCTTACTATTATTTCTTTCAGACTCTATTTCCTTTCCAGTCATTTCAATAAATTAATCCTTTAGGCATACTTAAGTTGTTCTGTCTTTATTACATTTCAAATGTTATCATTCTTTTTAATGTTAACCTTAGTTTATTATTGATGATGAAAACAATCATGGAAAACTTTTGATATTGAAAAATGTTTTTTATGATTTATTATTTATTTGAGAGGCAGAATTATAGACAGAGAGAGGGAAAGACAAAGAGAAAGATCTTCCATCTGCTGGTTCATTCCCCAAATGGCCACAATGGCTGGAGCTGGGATGATCCAAAGCCAGGGATCAAGAGCCAGGAGCTTCTTCTGGGTTTCCCACGTAGGTGCAGGGACCCAAACACTTGGCATGGTCTGCTGCTTTCCCAGGCCGCAGCAGAGAGCTGGATCAGAAGTGGAGCAGCTGGGACTTGAACCAGCGCCCATATGGGATGCTGACACTACAGCACCAGCCCTGAATAGAATCTTTTAAGTTGAATATTAAAAGATATGAAAAGGTGGAAGAAAAGATAGGATGATTGCATGTTTATCTCATTTGCTCCTGAAACATCTTGGTTGATATTCATTTTCCCCATGCAATGATTGAACTTATGTTTTTCACCACACAGAAAAAGAGTTAACTAACATTAGACATAACATTTTGTGATCACTCGAAGGAAAGAGCTACAAGTGTGAAATGCATTTAACAGCTCCCACATAATTATCTAAGTGATGCTGTGAGATGCACTCACCCATTATTTCAATTTCCATATCTATACAGTAGTCAGGAATAGACTTAGGTATTCCTAACATGGCAGGCATTCCTTGTTGCTCCACACTGCTCACACCACTTATACCAGAGCAACAAGGTATTCTATCACAATCAGAATCAACTGGATTACATGAATTCAGCCAGAAATGTTCGACAAAGTAAGACTTGTTTAAAACTATGATAATCATTGCCTATAACTGAGAAGTAATTGTTTATTGTGATGAATTATCCCTATTCCTAAACAATTCCTCCACTTGGATATTTGATTGCATTCCCTTCTGTTTATGCAACGATATACCTCTAGCAATATCTTTCCATTATATCTAATGTTTGTCTGCCCTTATTATGACATTAGAATGGTACAAGATTTGTGTATCCAGTTATGTTGTCCTTCTTTCTATTTAGTTTACATTTATGTTTTAAAGGCAAGGATATAGAGAGGCAGAGAGACAGAGATGAAGAGTGAGATCCCCCATCTTCTGGGTGATTCCCCAAAGGCTCACAGTAGCCAAGATTAGGATAGGTCTAGGATGTCAGGTGGGAACAAAACCCGGGTCTCCTATATAGGCGGCACTGACCCACTTAGTTGAGGCATCACCTGCTTCTTCCCACGGTGTGCCTTGGAAGCATGTTAAGATTGGGAACAGAGCCAGGACATGACCTGAGGCACTCTGATATGGGATGTGGGTGTCCCAAGAAGTGTCTTAACTACTATGCCAAACACTTGCCCTAGTATCTCCCTAGTGTAAAGAAAAAAAATCCCTAATACTTAACTTCAATATCTCTCCAGTGCTTCGAGTTACCTATATGACAACTATCATAGAAGTATCAACATTAATTTTTTCCACAATCTTACATGTTGTTCTCTTATTAAACCAGTCCAACAACTTTTGTTTCACACCTCACACCAGTTTTTTTCCCAAGGTTACTAACAACTTCATCTAGTTAATTTGGGCTCTTTTTACTCAATCTCTTAGTGACATTTGGTAGTCAACCATCACTTCTCATTTGAAGTAGCACACTTCTCTTCATTTGAAATCCCCTACCAGATAAATCCTGTGTTTTTCCATTAACTCAGCCGTCACATCTTCTCACCTCCCTTCTGAAATTTCCTCTCATTCGAAGCCTTGTGTGTTGATTTACCCTGGGGATTAGCTTAAACTTGGCTGATCTCGTTCAATTTCCTGTTTAGGGAGTCCAAATGTAGCTTTCTTTCCTTTTTTTTTAGACAGGCAGAGTTAGACAGTGAGAGAGAGAGAGACAGAAAGAAAGGTCTTCCTTTTTCCATTGGTTCACCCCCCAAATGGCCGCTGTAGCCCACGCACTGCGCTGATCCGAAGCCAGGAGCCAGGTGCTTCCCCCAGTCTCCCATGCAGGTGCAGAGCCCAAGCACTTGGGCCATCCTCCACTGCACTCCTGGGCCACAGCAGAGAGCTGGACTGGAAGAGGGGCAACCGGGACAGAATCCAGTGCCCCAACCGGGACTAGAACCCGGGGTGCTGGCACCGCAAGTGGAGGATTAGCCTAGTGAGCCATGGTGCCGGCCCAAATGTATCTTTCCACACACCTGTTGTAAATTCTAAATTCATATACCAACTGCCTTTTTGATCCACGTACATAAGTACCTAAGTAATTTCTATATGTGCAGCCAGAATTACCCTTTTTCTGAATCCAGTCCCTAACTTGCTCTTTCCTCAGTCTTCAGCATATCAATAAATGGCCTTACAACTTACTCTGTCATACCAAGTAAGAATTTAGGAATCACTGCAATTCCTTTCTTGTATTTACCCATTGTACTGTGTGGGATAATGTCTCTCACAATGTATTGTCCTTTTGGAATCTCAGAATGTTACTCTATTTCATAATAGGGTCATTGAAAATATAATTAGTCTAAGTAAGCTCTTATTGGAGTAGATTGGGCCTTTGATACAATATGACTGGTATCCTAATAGTTAGAAAAAATGCAAGGAGAATGCTGTGTGACAATGGAGGCAGAGGATTACAAACAAATTCTTGCATGGAGCTCAAATCCTGACAGTGCAGCAGTCTGCACCATCAGCCAGGAAGTCTCAGTTGCTTTCAGGGAAAAGCCCGGCCAGGCAAAATGTCAACACCATTACAGCTGCCACCCTCCGTACTATCACTCCTTGTAGTGGTAGCAGCAGCCACACCACTACCACTATTATTCCTGCAACCACCACCACCACCAGCACCCTCACTGATGCCTGTGTCATGGAGTTGAGGGTAGCCCCAAGGTCCAGCCAAAGCCACTGAAACATGTGCAAAACACACCCTGTAGCAACACAGGGAACACTGAAGAAGAAAGCAGGTTATGGTGAACTAAATGGCAATCCTGGAGAAAGAGAACTATTTTTCAGAATCTGGGTTCTGATCAAGCTACTAATGCTATTTCCAGGGTCCTCAACGGCAACCAGCACATTGTAGACACTAGACTGAAGCAGACTGTAAAGGCCAACAACTTTGGGAAAACAGGGGTTAAAGCCAAGAATTTCATCCAGAAAAACTGTATGAACAAAAAGAATTGGAAGTCTTATGAAAACAAATCTAGAGAGAACCAATCTGTAGAAAAGATTGATACTATAAGTATTACAAACAGTGTCGTAACAAATAAATATGGATAAATTACCAATGGTTTTATGGGGAAATAGTAGAATAGAGAGTGGATATGCAACTCATAAGAAAAGAAAAGCTAAGCACAGCAGTGCCAAAAGTTGTAAAAAACCCAATTTAATGCAGGACAAAATAATGCAACAGAACAGTGTCTCAACCTTAAAACAGGGAGACACTTTCAGGCCTGACTACAGTGAACAAAAGGGAAATTGAGTAGATGCTTCCAAGCATTTGAAGTATGAATCTGAGGAACAAATTGGGGAAAATCTGCTGTGGATGAAATGCTTCGGAAAAGCTCAAATTTTAAACCTGGTGAGAGCAGCTAACAGTATGATGATCATTCCAAAGGAAAGCATGTTTTAGCTTTTGCCCATAGAGAGAACTGTTGGACTCTATTTAACACACAACCATAGTTCTTCTGGTGAAAAACTGCAGTTCGAAAATAATTCTTAAAATAAGATATGCAATAAAGGTAAGGAAAACGTGAGCAAAACTGTGCGGAAATCTTCTGTGTCACCATCTTCATCTACACCTTTTCCATCATCTAGCGGAGAAACTCAGGCACGATTTTCAAGTCAGTTATCTCAGATTGATATGTCAGCACTGAAATGTGTTTCTTCTTTTATTTTTTCAAGAAAAAATGTTTTAATTTTTTCATTATAAGTTATAAAAATTTCAAGTATTTTATATATACAGATTTAGGAACATAGTATTACTTACCACCTTACCATCCCTCCTGTCCATGCTCCAAACCTTCTTCCTCCTCCCTTGCATTCTAACTCTTACTTTTTACAAAGATCTAATTTGAGGTTACTTAGTAATAATATAGTTAACCCCACACTAAGTAAAAGAGTTTAACAAATAGTATGAAGAAAAAAAAAACAACACTGTTCCTCAACAGAAGAGACAAGTGCTGTAAAAAATGATCAAATTTTAAAATGTCCATATCATAGAAACACATTACATTTTAAGTACTCTATTTATTACCTTGTGCCAAGGAAAACATATGGCACCTGTCTTTTAGGACTGGCTAATTTCAGTAAGTATAATGGTTTCAAGTTGGGTCCATTTTGTTGCAAAAGACAGGATTTCATATTTTTTATAGATGAGTATTACTCCACTGTATACATATACCATAATTTCTTTATCCACTCAAAAGTTGGTGAACATCTGGATTGATTCCACCTCTTTGCTATTGTGAATCAGGCTGCAATGAACATGGGGGTACAGATAACTCTTTCATATTCTGATTTCATTTCTCTTGGGTAAATTCCCAGGAATGGGATGACTGGATCAAATGGTAGGTCTATATTCATATTTCTGAGGTGTCTCCATACTGCCTTCCACAGTGGCTGCATCAGTTTATTTTCCCACCAACAGTAAATTAGGGTAGTTTTTCCCCCACATCCTCACCAGCATTTGTTGTATGAGAGCCATTCTAACTAGGGTGAGGTGAAACCTCATTGTGGTTTTTATTTGCATTTTCCTGATGCCTAGTGATCTTGAGCATTTTCTCAAGTGTCTGTTGGCCATTTGAATTTCCTCTCTTGAAAAATGCCTGTTCAAATCCTTTGCCCATTTCTTAACTGGACTGTTTGCTTTGTTATTGTTGAATTTCTTAAACTTTATATAGATTCTAGAAGTTAACCCTTTA